ACCTCTGGCATGGCAATGACGCGTTGCGAGTCGAAGACTTCTTCATCTGTCCCCTGTATAAAGCGCAGCAGCAACCGCGACCAACACCTGCAGTCTCCTTTTAGCTGCCTTTTGTCTCCTGGAGACCTTCGTTCGGCTCCTTTTGCTGCTGGAGGCCCCGCCTCTTTGCAGACTGTGCATGCAGCAGACGAGGAGGAGCTGCTGCTGCTGCTGCTGCTGCTGCTGCTGCTGCTGCTGCTGCACTTCTTTATTATCAGCGCATGCAGCTCCTCATAAGTAAACAACAGGGGAGACGTAGGAAAGCCCCACGGCTGCAGCCGCAGCAGCCTGCACAGGCGCATGCATTCAAGAGAAGCTGTTAGCAATATGGATATGAAGCATCAACCGTTTGCTTCTGCTGCTGTTGCTGCTGCTGCTGTTGTTGCTGTTGCTGCTGCTGCTGCTGCTGTTGTGGGATTGCTTGCGCTGCCTCAAACAGACAGAATGAAAGAAGAATTTATTATTACTAATATATATTATTATTTTATAATATTATTATATTATAACACAACAACGCACCTGCAGGTGTCAGTCCCTTCCGCCCCGCAGTGTACATACAGATCTGCTGCGTACAGCGGAGGCAGCAGCAGCTGCTTCTCCTTCTGCTGCTGCTGCTGCTGCTGCTGCTGCGGCTGCTGCAGATGCTGCAGCACGAAGTTCCACACCGCTCGCCGCAGCCGCTGCCGCATAGAGGCCCTAGTAGACAGCTCAGGGAGACACTCTGACAGCCACAGCTGACACACGCCTGCAGCACGCACGTTCAGCAGCAGCAGCAGCAGCAGCATAAGCAGCAAGAAAACGCATCAGCGGAGGCAGCAAACGCAGCAGCATAACAAGCAGCAGCAGCGCAAGCAGCAGCAGTACACGTAACAGCACAAGCAGCAGCAGCACAAGCAGCAGCAGCACAAGCAGCAGCAGCAGCAAGAGGCGAGTAGGAAAGGCATATATTCTCAATCTGCTTTGGCTGGGGCTGGGTGTGTGGGGCGAGTTTCCTGCAGTTTGCTGCCTGGTGTTGGGGTGTATGCTGAGCTTTAAAAGTGCTGCTGCTGCTTAAAAAAGAAAGCAGCAAAGGAGACAAACCAATGGGGACACCGCCTGCAACAAAAACGCGAAATTCGCTGCCCTTGTGCAGCTCTTCTGTCTCCAGCAGCGTCAAGCAAGGAGACACAGTAAGGGACACTTCACAACCTGCGGCCAGCTGCTCCTGCTGCTGTTCTTGCTGCTGCTGCTGCGGCTGCTGTTGCTGTTGCTCTTGCTGTTGCTGCTGCTGTGTGCGTTGGGATAGCTGCAGCAGCAGCTGCTGCTGCTGCTGCAGATGTTGATAGAGCCCCGGGCGAGCAGCGAGGCGCCTGAGGTGGTAAGTGGGGCGTAGAGAAGGAGACAGTTGCTGTGTAGTGTTGCTGCAGAGGTCTGCTGCATGCTGCAGGTGTTGCTGCTGCTGCAGTGCTTCTGTAGCAGCAGCCGAAGCGTGCAGCAGCAGCACCACCTCCCAAGGCTCTGTGCAAGCAAATGCAAGGAGACTGCGAGCAGAGGCAGCCTGAGAGGAGACAGAAAAAGCAGTATTATGCTTAGCCCCAGCCACCACCCAAGCAGCATCAGATAAGCTGCTGCTGTTTATTAGAGGTGTAACGCGGCCCCCAGTAAGAGGAATGCATGCAGATAAACACCGCAGCAAACAGGAGATAGCAGCATCTGCTGCACCTGTTGTAGAAGAAGAAGAAGCAGCAGCAGCAGCAGCAGAGGAAGCTCCTCCTGCTGCAGATGCTGCCAGTCCCTTCGCTGCTGTTGGGGGTGGGTCATTCGTTGCTGCTAAAGAAGCAGCACCTGCTGCTGCTGGCAACTGTGCTTCTGCTGCTGCTGCTGCTGATAACTCTGCTCCTGCTGCTGCTAACTCTGCTGCTGCTGCTGCTGCTAACTCTGCTGCTGCAGGTGGGGGTAAGGGCTCTGAAGAGGGTGAATTGAGGGGTGAGGTTCGGGGAGAGGAGACAGATGAAGGCAAAGCCGATAGCCAGGGGCTGTCGTCGCTCGAAGGCTCAGGCGAACGCCAATCCTAAGAAAGACAAAAGGAGACAAAAAGAAATTAAAAGGAGACACAAATAAATAAAAAGAAGACAAAGAAATAAAAGAGAGACAAAAAGAAATTAAAAGGAGACATAAATAAATAAAAAGAAGACAAAGAAATAAAAGAGAGACAAAAAGAAATTAAAAGGAGACATAAATAAATTAAAAGGAGACATAAAGAAATAAAAAGGAGACAAAAATAAATAAAGAGGAGACACAAAGGAGACAGAGAAGAAGACAAAAAGGCGACATAAAGGAGACAAAGAAGAGACAAAAGAATGCAAAGAAGAGAGATGAAGGAGACAGAGAAGAAAACAAAAAGAAGACAAAGAAGAGACATAAAGGAGACACAAAGGGGACAGAAGGAGACAACGCATAAACAGAGACGCCAACAGCAAAGGGGGCAGAGAGGCATCTAGAGCAGCCGAAGCAACGAACAAGAGGAGACAGCAGCAGACCCCGCACAGCAGCAAGGAGCCGCTGCGTTCATTGATGAAGACAGAAGGAGACAAGAAAAGAAGCAAAGAGATACAAGAGGAGGAGAGCAGCAAACAGAGACAAAGGAGACAATCAGCAGCAGCAGCCTATCAAGTGACAAACCGCTGTATAGCGAAGCAGACGCCCAGAACCTGCGCGCTTGCTGCTGCTGCTGCTGCTGCTGCTGCTGTTGCAGGAAGGAGGAAGGCGGAGGTCATCGCAGGTAACTGCCTCCAGCACCCCCGGAGGCAGCAGAATGCAGCAGCAGCGCAAGCAGCAGCACCTGCAGCCTGCTGCAACAGCTACAATGCTGCTGTCTCCCTCCTCTGCCCCGTTCGGTTCAGCACCACCACTACACATACAAGTGCTGCTGCTGCTGCTGCTGCTGCTGTTGCTGCTGCTGGTAGAGGGAGTTAGGGTGTCTCTAAATGCAAGTTTTTGTTTTGCTGCGCAGCAGCAGCAGAAAGAAAGAGACAGCCGCCAGGAAGCGAAGTCGCAGGCCACTGCATCCACAGCCATGCAGGCGTCTGAAGAGGAGACACAGAGACACCTAAACCCTAAACCCTAAACCCTAAACCCTAAGCCCTAAACCCTAAACCCTAAACCCTAAACCCCTGAGTGTACAACGTGGTCCTGGAGTATAATATACCTTTTTTTCTCAGGGCAAGAGAAGCAGAAAGAGAACATGCAACAACAAAAGGAGACAGAGATAGAAAAGGAGACAGAGACAGAGACAGAGACAGCAAGGCAGAGACACAGACAAAGAGACAGAGACAGAGACAGAGACGGAGACAGAGACAAAGATAGACAAAGACAAAGACAAAGACAAAGTGCGAGAGAGAGTGAGAGAGAGAGAGAGAAGGAGACACACAAAGCAAGCACAAGGAGACAGCGACAAGCAGCAAACAGCAGTGAGAGCAACGCTAAGCTGCTGCTTCTGCAGCAGCTGAAGCAGTAACAAAGCAGCAACAAGAGGAGCAGCAAGAGCACCAGCAAGAACAGCAGCAACAGCAACAGCAACAGCAGCAACAGCAACAGCAACAGCAGCAACAGCAACAGCAGCAACAGCAGCAGCAACAGCAGGCTGCTGACCTGGGGGTCCCCATAGGAAGTAGAAGAGTTCAAGGGCCTCCGCCTCCAGCTGTCTCCACCTATTAAAGAGGAGACACCGCGAGGGCTGCCTATACACCTCAGAGAGGAGACGCAGCAAACGCTTTAAGCCTGTTGAATCTCCTTTATTCATTGATAGCCACACGTGCCCTACTGCAGGCAAAGTGCGCTGCTGCTGCTGCTGCTGCTGCTGCTGCTGCTGATTCTCCTGCTGCTGCTGCTGCTGCTGCTCTTGCTGCTTCGGATCCTCTTTCTCCTGCTGCTCTTGTTGCGGCCGTTCTTGCTGCTGCTGCTGTTCTTCATGCTGCTGATGCTGCTGCTGCTCATGCTGCTCCTGCTGCTGCTGCTCTTGCTGCTCTTGCTGCTGCTGCTGCTGCTGCTGCTTTTGCTGCAGCGGGAAGATACTGCATATGCCGTCGTCACCAATATCAAAGCCATCTGCATAGAAGTACAAATTAAAATAAATATTAAAACAAATAAAAATAATAATAATAATAATAAATAATAATAAACTTAAAGAACAAGATGAAGAGATAAAGAAAAACAAAATAAAGAAAGAAGGCCGAGGTTAACGAGGAGACAGCAAAGCAAGAAGAGACAAACAAAAGAAAAAGAGAGACACTTAATAAAACAAACATTAAAATAAAATAAACATTAAAATAAAACAAAGAATAAAATATAAATAAAGAAGAAAATAAAATAAAGAAGAGACTAACAATCAAAGGAGACAGCGAAAGCAATAAAAAAGACAGAGACAAATAAATAAAATAAAAAACAAAAACAATAAAATAAACAAAGGAGACAAAAGTATAAACAAAGGAGACAAATAAGAGAGGCCTACAGGGACAGCAGAAATCTTTTAAAGAGCAGCAAGAAGGAGACAGTGCAGCTGATGACGATATTTTAACTGTCTCCTCAGCACCCCCGATCCAGCACACCCCGCTTAAGCCACTCAAACTCTCGCACACGCAATCTGCAGCAACACAACCACTGCTGCTGCTGCTGCTGCTGCTGCTGCTGCTGCTGCTGCTGCTGCTGGGTTGTGAGGGAGGTATGCAGCCGCCAGTTGCGGAGGTGGTGAAGGGGGCAAAGGGATCTGCTAAATCTGTTTCAGTTTGCTGCGAGTGGTGAGCAGCACTGAGCTGCAGCGAGAGGCACTTGTGCTGCTGCTGCTGCTGCTGCTGCTGCTGTTGCTGCTGCTGCTGATGTTGCTGCTGATGCTGGAGCAGCTGCTGCTGCTGCAGCAGCCTGGCTACCACCGGAGAGGGGTGTACTTTGAAGAGTTGATGAGGGGAGAGACAAAGAGTTCTTTCACAGTCAGCATAAACCCTGCAGCGGAAGTGAGCACAAAGAAAATTAAAAAATAAGAGGCCTGAGGCTGGCGTTGAGATCTGCAGTGTCTCCTCTCCTTGAGGAGACAGTGAGCAGCAAGCAGAAGCTGATTCAGCCCGCTGGTTTGGTGTCTCCAATGAACCAGCAGCAGCTGCAGCAGCAGCTGCAGCAGCAGGTGCTGCTGCTGCTGCTGCTGTTGTTGCTGCTGCTGCTGCTGTCATTGCTCGCTGCCTTCTAATTGGGGATGTGGGGTATAACGCGCATATAACTCATTAGAAAGGAAAGGAGGAGGCGAAGGCTGCTGCTGCAGCTATATGGAGAAGATCCGAATGCTGCTGCTCCTGCTGCTGCTACTGCTGCTGCTGCTGCTGTTGCTGTTGCTGCTGCTGAAGCTATCGTTAGAGAAACAATTATAACGCCCTAGGGGGACCCCCATAAAGACAGAGAGGCCCCCTAAAAGAATAAATAAAGATATATAATTAACAAATTAGATAAAAGGAAGAAGAAAGATGCAACAAGTCTACAAGAAGAATGAGTGTTTGCTGCTGAGGTCTAAGGCCTCAATGCTTATAGAATGCCTCCGTTGCCTGCAGCAGAAGAGAAGTGCTTGTAAGCAAATATATATAAGTTTTTGTAATTATATTTTGTAAATTAATTAATATATTTAATAATAATTACATTTAAAAAAGAAGAACACTGCAGAAATTTATTTGACTGGGGGCCCCGGGGCCCCACAGAAGGCTACGCTGTCGGCGGTGGGGTGTATACTCAGCACTGCTGAACAAAGAAAAAGAAATAAAGTAAATATTTTATTTTATTCTTTTTAATGCATTTTGTCTTTTAAATGTATATTTATTGCTGCAACGGGCTTCGCTCAGCTACTCAGGGATCTCCCTCACCACCCCACAACATACATACAATACTCATTAACACTATAAACCCTAAACCCTAAACCCTAAACCCTAAACCCTAAACCCTAAACCCTGAGCATTTCCATCTCTGGTACAAGCTGCACTTATTTTGTTGGGAGTAAGGCGCTTAGGGCCTTCTCTCTCTCTGAACATTTACTGCAAATACTAGTTCTTGCCTAGTAGAGTTGTTTATCTTAAATTAGTAAATATATTTCTATTTGCATGCAGGGGAGAGTGAGAAGTTTGCTATGGCGTTGGGGTGTATGCATGAAAAGGGGGCTTTCATACGCTTAAATATGGTGGTGATTAATAACAATATGGTTAACAATAAAAAGCTTCATAAGGATGCATATTTTATATGCTAAAATTATATTTAATAATATACTTATTTATTCTCTTTTGCCTCCCCTCATGCAAGTACTTCGATTTGCATGCAGAGAGGCTTAACTGTTATTTACTTTGTTTCTGCATGCATTAAAAAAAGTATTGTCCCCTTCCTATACCTGCTTAAATTTGTGCCCCTTCACTTACTACTCCTGAACGTTTAGTGTAAAGTTTTAATATATTATTTAATTTAAAAATTAGAAGTGTCTTTATTAATTTTAATGCATACTCAGTCTGACTGATTCTTACGCATGCATGCTGTCTGAAGAGCCAATGGGATGGAGGAAAGAGAAGAATAAAGTTTATAGGCTCTCTCCTCTTAAAAGTTATTTTTAAGTCTTTTATCTAAAAGGAGAAGCATATTTAGAGACCCCCTCCCCTTTTAAACCTTTCTTCTAGAAGGACAAGTATATTTGGAGGCCCCCTCCTTTTACTATTTTTAAATCTATCTTCTAAGAGGACAAACATATTTAGAGACCCCTTCCCCTTGAAAGCTACTTTTAACTCCTTCTTCTTCTTACCCCCTCCTCGAATTCTTCAATGGCAGCAGTTTCTTTATAAGAATGACAGCAGCATTTGCACCATTTGCAAGCTGAAGTGTCTCTACTACGAGACCTATTCATACTGGAGACAGCTAATACATGCGCTACCGTTCTTAGCATGGAGGGGGCTCGATGATAAGAGGGAAGGAGGGCACTGGGAGATGTTGTAGTCTGTGTGGAGGAGCTGTTCTTTTCATTTTAAATTGAAGCAGGGGAGAAGATAGACAAGCAACGTGGGTCTTCATTATTAGAGTTGAAGAGCATTCAAGGGGGGCTTTACCTAAACGGCGTTCCTCTTTACCGAAGCATATTCACAAAATGCTACTGTTTTTAGCTTTTTGCTGGGATATATCCGTAATGGGGAGAGTTTTAATTCAGAGCCTCCATGAAGGATAATACTCAGCGCCGAATGAGATAGGCTGCGACAGAGTTAAGGGGGCGAAGGCGAGAGAAGCGACGCAGATAAAAGTATTACACCTTGGTGTATTGATATTCAATGGTGGGGTCAAAGCTGTTGATTATAGTAGGGGTATCCACTGGAAAGAGACAATCTAATTGTAGCTAACTGGGCTGCTAAGGGGAGACAAAGGAGTAGCAGCAGCATGCAGTCTGCGGGGTTTCTGAGTCTCTACTCGTAAAAGAGCAAGAAAAGAAGTTATTTCAAACGCTTTAATCAAGACAAAAACAACTTTTTCTAAAATTACCCACCTAAAGCGCATGCGCATATTTTGGGGCTTTTATATACCAACCCCTCAAATGAAACAGAGGAAGCCAGAGGAGATGCCAGGAGGTGAGTACAGCACTCAGTTTATCGTAGGGGCATCCAGAGCAGTGAATCTGCTACCTTCTATATATTCAAAAAGCAACAGTGTTTCTGTTCGCCTTCCAATATTCAATGTTCAGCCAAACCATGATTACAGCCCCACCAAGCAGGATCTCCCCCAATGCTGTCTCCGGTCTCCTCAAAGGAGTAAGGTGACAGCAATGGCATGCAGATATGCATGCATGCATGCAGATATGCATGCATGCATGCATATCTGCATGCAGGTGAGCATGAAGTTAAAACAGTGCCTCCTCGGGAGCAAACAGGGCCGTCAGGGGAACGGGTTGAGAGCCACGCCAAAGGAGGTGGGGGCTTAGCAACAGATTCACTTATAGCGGGGAGGCGCAACCTGCGTGTATATTGATTAGCAGATTTACTTCAACTGCGTTTCTCCTACTTTATATAGGACATCATAAGAGGCAAACCTACAGGCGAATGGGCACCCTCTATTTAGAAAGAAATTATTTTACTGCGATTTGGTGCTTCTAAGTTAGAGCCGTTCACCACGACATAATCCAAAGCACACAGTGGGTGAGGGTGAGGAGGCCAGGCATGCAGCTTCTAGAAGATAATTTGCTGGGGTCTGTCTGCTGAAGCTCTCACCTACTAGCCTTAAGGGTGCTTGTAATCTCTGAGGTAAGGGAGAGGAAAGCAGCGTTCACAAGAAGAAATAACAAAAAATTATCTCTCCAGCCCAATGCAAAGGCGCTGCTGGAAACGACGGAGAAATGCATGCATGAAGGCTGTAAGGAGACAGCCGCTTTGAAGTATTCGATATATTCAAAGGCAGAGTAGCAGAAGAAGTGAGTGCAGTTCAAGAAAGATATCTGAGGTGTATTCTATGGAAAGGAGCTCCCAGCTGGCCGGCCACTCACTGTACACCCCGTGCCCAGCCCCTCCAGACAGTACTAGCCTTTGGTGATGCGCTGCAGAGCAGCTAAGTCCTCATATAGGTAAAGAAGCAAACAATAGACTAACAGAGAAAGTTTAAAGAAGGGAGGAGACGAACAGAGCCGACAGAGTGCTAAGCAAAGAAGTACCCGGCGCTAGAAAGCAGAAGGACAACCCCATCGCTACATCGTTCCCTAGAGAGAGGCGCCCCTTAATTCATTGAATTTCGTAGAGGGAGTGAAGGGGTGATGCTGGCCAGCATGGAATCTAAGGCGCCTCTGAGGGCTTCTCATTACTGCAACTTAGGGTTTAGGGTTTAGGGTTTAGGGTTTAGGGTTAAGGGTGTTCTCCGCTTAGGGTTTAATATTTCCCGCAGCCTGAGCACTTGCTCAGATTAACCAATGGACCCTCTAAAGGCCCAAAGCCCTTTGCTGTAGTTTCTGCAGATGAGTTATCTTAATGCACGTCTGCTCAACAGTACCTGCTGCCTCTACCCCAGCTCTGCTGCACGTAAGCACCGCTTTAACCCGCCCCTCTCTGCGATAATTCCACTAGATCTTAATGGAGCCTTCTTTGTGTTGGAGTAATACTGCACTTGTTGCGGTGCCTGCTGTTGCTGCTGCTGCTGCTGCTGCAACTGCAGCAACTGCAGCAACTGCAGCAGCCATGGATCTATTTCGCGTCCAGCAGAGGTATAAAAGCGGGGATTACGATGAAAGTGTTCGTCTTTTGAGTTAAAATTAATTTTAAAGTATAAAACGGGTATTTATTTTTGATTATTTTCGCTTTATTCAGAAGAAAACTTGAGGACATCCGCTGGCTACCATCTGCACGACCGGCGAACAGCCCTTAGCTGTCTGTCTGCAGCATTTTTGCTATGAAATAAGAGTTGTTGCTGATGCTAAATTATTTTTTTGTCTAAATATTTATTTAATAAATTTAAATTAATTTAAATTAACAATTTTTATGCAAAGGCTTATGAGGTGCTGGCTGGTGCTGCGCAGCCTGCGCGTGCAAGGATGCGTGTCGGCTGCTGATGCTACTGCTGCTGCGGCTGCTACTGCTGTTGCTGCTGCTGCTGCCTGAGCAGCTCAATCAAGAAGCAGAAATACCTCTTTTTAAGACATTAATTTGTTTGTTTTATTCTTTTTCTGAAAGATAATAAGAGAAAATGATGGAAGAAAGCTCTTTTGCTGCCTCCGCTCGCAGCGGAGCCCTTAGTGCAAGCCTGGGGGCATACGAAGGATCGATGGAGGGTAGCAGCAGCAGCAGCAACAGCAGCAGCAATATCAGCAGCAGCAATATCAACAGCAGCAACAGCAGCAGCAGCAACAGCAGCAGCAGCAACACCCGATCCACTGAAAGCCTAGGCCAAACGCCCGATGCCTCTTCCCACAGCTCCGCTCAGTTCATAGGGCAGGGTGTAGATA